AAGATCTCCCTGGGAAGATAAAGAATAAATTCATTCCTATTAAAGATGTTTTTGGAACTGTGATAATGTTAAGAAAACAAACAAAAAAATGTGCCTCCTTTCTTTTTCCCCACATTTGAGAGAATATGTGAGCTTGAAATGAAAATGCTTTCCTCACCCTTTTCTTTCCCCTTCTCTCTCCATCTATACCAAAAGAAAAATCTTCTATCTCTGTCTCTCTCCATTTCCCTCTTCCTCATTCCTTTTATTCATTTTAAACTATTCATTTCTCTTGACGTTATGTCTTTTTGTCCTAGCAATAATTAAATTTGTTATTAGCGTACATGTTTTTTAACTTAGAAATAAATTAGTTTTCCACAAGTAAATTTGAACTTACTATTCTACATTTAAAAAATGAAGATCCAAGACTATTAGAATTGGAAGGGGGGAAATAATTATCACAGGGGGTCAAGTTCAACCCGCCTCTATATTTTTATAATTTTCATGCAAAACCTATTTAAGGTGGAAAGAGCGCATTCTTTAGTTATGATTATATATATATATATATATATATATATATATATATATATTTTAAATAAATATTCGCGATGCAATAATGTTCGAACCTAGCCTTAAGAGATATAACAACATTGACAATAATTCGAGAGGTAAGTCATTAATATCTCTAGTCTTTCAATCGCACTCCTAATTTGAATGATTATACATTTTAATAAATGCACATTAATTTTACTTTTTTATTTAAATTAGATGACATAATTGTTTCATTATTTTATTCTCATAGATTAAGTTAAAAAAACAATAAATATAATCAATAATTCGAATCAACATCATTTCAGATTACAACAAATTCACAATCCGACCCTATCCCTAAGGCGTGTAATTAACAAATGAAGATTATCGTAATCAACAATTGTGCACGTGCACCCAATAAGTAATAATCAGGCACAAGCCAGCACAAAATAAAGTTATAGCTACCTCTAATAAGACGACACGTGTAAAGAATTGTATGTCAACTCCTTAATGTGACCTCAATCTAGGAAATTTCATGTTAAAAAAAATTTTAAAAAATCTAGAAAAATGCCACCTCAACTAAGGAAGCCTATCTTTCTGTGCTCCTACGCCCCACCGAATCTCAGTGGCCCTCACTTGACCACAAATAGTTAATGCACGAAGCCACCACATGCCTGACCTCTTGATCTTGTTATCCAATGTGGTTTGGTACACAGTACCATACTTGGACTTCTTCACATCACACAAATCTAAGCCACAAGTAACGTCAAAATCGTTGCATGTCCGCCACGTGTAACAAAACAAGATTTATTTTCCGAAAAAAACAATTGAACGCAATAGGATGGTGCCAAAAGTTGGTGATACAAAGACATAGTATATGAACATGATGTCACCTTTGTCTCAACTCATTATTTTATACTTTCTCTCTCTTCCCTTTCTCTCTCCTCTTTTTAAATGAAGATTATACAGTTCTTGCGTTGCGTGACCAAAAAATTTCACAAGCAGCATTGTGCAATATCAGGTGAGAGTATAGAGCCTGTTGTTCTACTGCATTACTTTGCTAACTTACAAATTAATCGGAAATTAGTTTTAATAGAGTTGGAGGACTTCAAGTTACATTTGATGCTAATAATCTGTTTATTTGTTGGTATAAAACAGGCATTGAAATTGTAAGATTGAGTTTTGAATACTTTTTTCGATCAAATAAACACCGGTTAGAATCGTTTAGCCCTCCAAAAAAAAATTTCTCTGTTGCTTCATTTTCTTCCATTGATGAGGCCTATTAATTTGGTGTGATTTTTTCTTTGTTATGCTTATTTGTAAATTTAATTTAATTGATTTTCACAAAGATTTACAGATGGAGTATGCCATCAACACCTGAAATCGAAGTAATGCACGAGGAGTAACTAGAATTGTTTATGTTGAAGATTTGGGAATATTTTATTAGTAGTTGTTTATGTTTAAGATTTAGGAATAATTGATTTTCTTTATTTAGTGTATGTTGAATCATTAGTTATGCATAAATTGACTGTTGCATATTTATATGCTTGATTTTTAGTGTTAGATCGCACATCTATACATGTTGAAATGATATTTTGTATTAAACCATATTTTCATCGATATTTTTTTATATGTCACATTTTTATACATAACCTGTGATATATCCCACAACTAAACATTCATTCTTAAACTGTGTTTGGTTGCATGTAATTCAAATCTGGCATAAAAATTAAAATTTTAGCTTCAATTTCATAGGAGGTGGAACCAAATTTGACATTCTATATCTAAGCACACTTACATGGTTAAAGGTAAAGAATCAAATTATACAACCAATTACTCTTACCTACCAGAGAGGAAATAATTTTTTTTGATAAGTCAGAGAAGAAATAATTACATTCAATTCAGTATGATCTTAAAACTTTCATAAAAGTGAACAAATCAAATCACAACCATATATTCATGTAGTCTATGACATTATTCAAGTTGTTTTCATTATCGTTGTTGTCTTTATTCCATACAAAGGAGGTGAACCATATGAATTTTCTTTTTTTCACCCTTTTCTATCATAAATCATATCTCCTACTAGATTTAAATTTTTTAAATAATTCTTTATCACTTCAATCCAAGTTAGTTTACGTTGACCTCTTTGTCTCTTACCTTCTATGCAAATCGGCGTTGAGTCATTTGCAACATTCTACTTTGTATAAAATAGCCGGTCAATTCATGATCCCTTTGACAGAGGTTAAGGATTTTTTACTAAAACTGTAGAAAAAAATCATGAAAATTAATATCACAATATATGCTTTTTTTTGACTTGGCAATGGTTAGAGAATTAGTAGTTAGTGGGGCTAGGGGGAAGAGGATTCAAACCTAGGATGATAGGATGGAGGACAATTAAAAGCCTAACCTTTTACGACTTGGATAACACCGCCACCACACCTAATATCATAATATATGCTTACTGTACATATATATGAATACATGGTTTCTTTCATTTTTTTCTTTAAAAAGCAAAAAACAAAATACAAAACAACTACAAAGTGTGGTTTCAAACTATTAAATATGACATGGTGTTTGAAATTTTTTGCATATGTTTCCTACAAATTGGCAGATATAATGTAAAAACATCATCATATATATTAATCAGATCCCTTGGCTGCACTAATGGTGTGCATCGTGTGTGTGTGTGTGTATTGTGCCTTACTAAGGAACCTCTTCTTGGTTTACCATAACGGCAGGAGTTTAGCACACACTTCTTGTACATACCTTCAACAACAATGCTCTCAACAATACATCTTATGTTAGGGTTTAAGAGCTGAACTTTAATCATTAATTCAAGCATTATCAAATTTGTACACAAGCCAAAAGAAGAAAAACTAGAAAGAGAACTGATTGCACGATATATTTCTTCTCATAATCATCCTATTAATTGAATGTGACTCAACTGCTCAATTACAAATACATTAGCAACGCAAAATAAGGGTTATCGCCACATTTTTTATTCTTCAAATTGCATTCTAGTCCATATACCTTACAAGGTAGGTTTTGATTCCAGTTGGAGAATATGAATTTTCAAGTAAATGATATCTGCACCCTCGTACAATTGTCGGTCTGAAACAAAGTTAACGTTGACAGCAAAAAGTTAGGAAACTGATTAAGTTTCAAACTTCTCTCATTTAAAAAAAACATATCTATAAGATCAAAACAATGTAAAGGTGCAACCTTAAGGGAAAAAAAAAAAAAAAAAGGTGCAAATTATCCATTATGTGTTTGTGTGTATTCATTTTGTAGTATTTTTCATTGAATTGTTCTTTCTTATTAAATTTGCTTTGTTCAAATTGGTCCATCACTGTTAATAAAAGCAGTGTGTTCCAAAATTAATGGTCTATCCTCTTCCATAACACCGAGAGGGGGCAAAAAATCTCACTCCAAATTAGCCCTACATTTTTCCCTTTGGTTTTGTTGTTATAACAAAGTGGTCTTATACCAACAATGAGGTTTGGTATAGAATGTATCAACCAACCGGATCAATGTGCAATCTAGCTTGCCATTTACTTGCAAATTTTAGCTGATAAATTAACCCTTAAAATACAATGTTTTGCAGCATTTAGTGTTTTACCATCAAAATAATTCTTACCTTTAGCGACAGCCAAAACCATCGCTAAAGTTTTTATAAAATACAAGTAAAGACTTTAGCTGTGGTCATCATATCCACCAGTAATACTCCCCAGAGTTTTAAATTGACCCTCAAGAACTGCCTCTCCTTTTGTATATTGTGTAGGCTTACACACACGCAGAATAAAGTCTTTAGCGGCGATCAGCATATCGGCCAATAAATACTCTCCACAATTTTTAGTCGACCCTCAAGAACTGTCTCTCCTTTTGTGTGGTGTATAGGCTTACAAACACGCAGAATAAAGTCTTTAGCGGCGGTTAGCATATCCGCCAGTAAATACTCCCCAAAGTTTTTTATCGACCCTCAAGAACTGTCTCTCTTTTTGTGTAGTGTGTAAGCTTACACATACGCAGAATAAAGTCTTTAGCGGCGGTCAGCATATTCGCCAATAAATACTCCCCACAGTTTTTAGCCAACCCTCAAGAAATGTATCTCCTTTTGTGTAGTGTGGAGGATTACACACACATAATAAAGTCTTTACTAGCAGTCAACATGTCCGTAAGCAAAGACCATCAATAAAAGAATTAGTAGCAGTTTAATTAGTCATGTTGCCAAGAAATACTCACTGCTAAAAGTAACCATTAGTAGTTAGTTCATATACCTGTTTTGTTTCACATACCATAACTAGCAATGGCACAAGTCTGTCAGAATGTATAAATTAACATATATTGTGGAAGAATAACTACATATCATAAGAAAATTTAAATCTGTTGATGCATTACTTCTCGCTTTTCTACTTGATCCACCTCAGTAATGTTCTGAATTTTTATGGAACTTAATATATAGCTAACCTTGCAGGTCTTTGTTGAAACAGATGGATCAAGGAAAATCTGTTCTAAAACCTCAAGCAACAGATTCTTCTATCAAATCACAAGATTCGGTAAAGGTTGAATCAGAAACAATTGTGGATCTATTGACTTGCGTTATTTGCAACAAAATCTTTAAGGAGGCTACCACAATTAATATCTGCCTTCACACATGTATGGTCTGCAGATTTCCATATTACTGAATTTGCTTCTTCTGATATTATTTTTATTCTTTTTTTGTTATATGTTATTAATTTAAGATAGATGGTTGGTAATTCCACCCCTTATTGATATTTGAATTTAAACTGTCCCTTTTTTTTTTACTTTTTTTTCTATTTACTATGGAAAGAGGTATATTCAGAGAATGGCATGGTCTTAAAACTTCCACAATATTCCTCAAAATAACTTTGATCTTTATGTAACTAAATTAAAACCAAACCTGATGTCTAGCATCTCTATATCAATGGAGAGATTATAGGTAATGCACAGAAAAAATGTAACCACTATCTGAATGAATATTAAAAAATATTTACCGATTCATGGCGTAAGAAAGACACTAATAAAAGAGATGTAGCCTATTGAATGATATGATAAAAATGCCTCTGGAAGTAAAAGCAAATATTAAGTAGCTAAGATATGTTGCTCAAACTATAAAGTCACAAGTCATAGCAAATAAAGTAATCAACAAACCAGTAATATTGGCATATATGCCTGATTATGCATATTGATAAACTTCTATTTAATATGAGAAGAATACAGCTAACTGGGATAAATTCAATTTAGTAACTTCTAAACTACATTTATTCAGGCTTTGGTTAGTGAAATCCAATGAAATATTTAACTGCCATATACTTGAAAAGTTTTAGGTTTCCTATATTAATTTTCATGAACTTTCGAACGTGACTGCACGAGGTAATAGGAAAATCCTACCCTGACATTTCACATTCCTATTATGATCCTTTTTGCTTTGCAGTTTGCAAGAACTGCATTTATCAAAAATTTCAAGAGGAAGAAAGCAAATGCTGCCCATTATGCAACAAGGACTTGGGGTCCTCTCTTGAACAATTTCTAAGGTGATTTCAGGTTCAAGATGTTATTATTATTATTATTATTTTCATAATTGGGTTCAAGATATTATTCTTTGCAAGTTATTTAATGCATCTTCTGAATTTTTATAAATCTTGATAAAAGATAGACCAAGTGCCATAATATGTCCACCTTAACAGTAATTTTAAAAAATTAGGGACCAGTACTAAGTATCCATATTGGCTAGTTGGTGTTTATAGCTCAGTCCAATTATAATCTGATCACAACCCCAGTACCAACATAATAACCATAAATAAGAAATATGCATTTGGGCAACCATGTATCATTTTTTTTTATGCATTTAACAGCGGTCAGTCAAATTCAACGCTTGTTGCAGGTGGTCATTTCGTAGACAAGAACAATTTTTTTCTGTTTTTGTTATTATTTTTGGTTTAGTTTACTTGGATTCTTAATCTGATGGTCATTTTGTTGACAATAATTTTTTTTAAGTTTTCAGTTTTCGTTATTATTTTTGGATTAGTTTACTTGAAATCTAAATCTGATTAGGAGTTATTTTACTATGTTATTACACGTAAGAGTTTTTTCTTTTCAATCAAGGAACTGTTCTGCAATGGTGCTTGGGTACTTTTGTGGGTTTCAAAATATTGATTTTCATGTAACTTTTTTCAATAGTGATCTCCTTATGCCTCATCACCCACCTAAGGATGTAGCTCTATTGTAAGTGTTTGTGATCTTGTGTTTTGGCATGTTTTCTATGATTTCATTTTATTTATTCATTTTTCTCTAGCCACTTGAACCTACAACTTCTTCTTCTTCTTTTTTCTTTTCCTTTTTATGCTTCCCAATTTTTGTTCTCTATTATATAAATGTTTCTAAATGTAACTGACTTTTACATTTTATCAGAGCTGATGAGAAATTGAATAATATTGCAAGAACAATTTTTCCCCCCAGCAACTCTAGAAAAAACAATGCGAGATCCGCAACTTCAAAGCTAAAAAACAAAAGTCCGGAAGTTACCAACGCCTGTGCAACTAGAACAGAAGCCGTGCCTCAAGATATATGTACGTTGCAAAAAACTACAAGAAAATTTCATGATGGTAGCCGTGTTGCAGGAATGAAAGGTCATCTGGATCGGACATCTTCACATGACATCTATGATTATTTGTCAACAGTTTCTAAGGAGAAGGTATTCATTTTCCCTAATATCTTTGTTGCATATTTGATTAGAATATGGTACTAACTTCAGTGGCACATTAAATTTCCATGATCTAACCATTGCGTTTTCTTCATTGTACTCAAAGCAAATTTCTACTATGATGCCTAAATTTACTTGTCATAGAAACAATGTGACATCTGCAACTTCAAAGCTAAAAAACAATAGGTCAGAGGTTACTAACGCCTGTGCAACTGGAACAGAAGCCGTGCATCAAGAAAAATTTCTTGATGGTAGACGTGCTGCAGGAATGAGAGGTCATCTGGATCGGAGATCTTCACATGACATCTATGATTATCTGTCAACAGTTTCGAAGGAGAAGGTATTCATTTTCCCTAATATCTTTGTTGTATTTTCTATTAGAATATGTTATTAATAACTTCAGTGGCACATTACATTTCCATGATCTAACCATTGCGTTTTCTTCATTGTACTCTAGCAAAATTTTACTATGATGCCTGACATTACTTGTATGTCAGAACGTAACACTCACAAGAATTTTTCTGAGGCTGAAACAAAATCCAAAGTGCAAAGAAAGAAGAGGACCACGAGGGGAAGAGGTCGGTCGTCATCTTATGGCCAAAAGAAAAACAAAGAAAAGATTGAGCATAAGAATGTAAAAATCAGTTCAGATGGTGCTTATGGAATCATGGACTCAGGAGAATCACATGATAAAACTTCATCTGAAGAAGAGCACTCTGATAAAGGGAAAATTCAAACAATTTGGTTGCATCTGTTTCCCCGGGCCGATGAGTAAGGAACCAGCTGTCCAAATTGTTCCAAAATAATTTTTTGTTCTTTTGACCCTACAAGTATTTTAGCTCACCAAAACATTTGTCGTCTACTCCTTGCAGCAATGGAATTATATACCCTAAGCTACCGCGTTCCTATATCTGTGTCAAGTAAGTTGATTAATATTTATGTACATATAATCATGCATCAATTATTCTTATTGCACTATCAAATGTTTACATGTTCTCTTCTGCTTCCTGGTTGAAAAGTTAAGTTGTATGTTAAAATACTGAGCTCCCGAGCTAGTAATGGCTCATTTGACTTGGTGAGTCAGTGGGGTTGTTCTGTTGGGATTTATATGCCCTGGCATAACAAATTCCTATCTGGATTGTAGTGACATATGTTCCTGACATATCTGAAATATTTATGATTTATATAATTGGTGAATTCAATGTATTATGTTTCGATTCACTATGAAATTGATAGTGTCCATGTAATTACAAGAAATATTTATATATATGTATGTGATGACAATCAATGCATGATATATAAATAGTAATTATAAATTATTCATAGTCGGTAATTATGGATGGACTCATAATTAATTAAGACTTGAACTGGATCCGCGTTAGGTTGAGATATATTGCGAGAGCCGTCGTATGCAATTACTCCCTATCACCGTCATGGCATTTGACTCTTAAGTATGAGAAAAGTATAGACTCTTTTATTAATTAATAATTACTTTGATTTGTTCGGCGGATTCTTCGGGATCCTTACACCGACACTTTGGGTAGTTATGTAATTAATAGTTAGAGGGTTATATTTTCAATATTTGCATCATTGCTACTTGTATTTATTTTGTATTGATTATGGTTGATCACAAAGTAAATTCGAAGGCCTTCGTGTGTTTTTAGACAAAATGATTTATTATATATTTATTTATTTAAATTATTATTTTTTGTCAAACAAATGTTTTATTGTGATCTAGCCAGAAATAATCAAAGGTACCAAAATAAATATATTAATTAAGTAGTCGGATTGATGGCTTTATTTATCCGATAACTAATTATGCATAGAGGGGTCAAAGTGCAATATTGACTTAGAGGTTATTTATTATTTAATTGGAGTTCAATTAATTTCTTTTAGTGGAGTAGAAATTAATTTATGAATTAATTTAATTGGGTCCATGGACCGGGCCAATCATTAATTCATTGTAGCCAATAAAATAATAGGCCCAATGGATTCTCACTCATAACCCAACTTGATATTGGAATCATATTAGATTTGAGACATGTGAATTAGAGATTGAGAAGGATTAGTTGTTTCCTTTTCTTTACCTTTATATTGCCTATAAATATACATGGTCTATGTATATTTGAGGGGGATTTTGATGAGAAGAAAATAGGAATAACTTTTCTCTCTCTAGAAAATTAGGGTTTATGTTCTCATCTAATGGAGGCTCCCACAAGCCTAGTTTTCCAAGGTCATTCATGGAGGCTTATGAGTGATTCCTAAAGGCAAGAGCATTACCAAGAAGATGGAGATCCATGGAAAAGATGTCTAGCAAAAGGGATCTACAATAAGTGAGAACATTCACTTTAGAGGAGAGATCTGAGATTTACTCAAACCTTGATGTAAGTATTCAATCTTTTAGTTGAATGATACATCATATTTTAATTTTGCATAAAACTTGTCTCTATGTGATGAATCAAGATTTATGAATTTAAATCCCTCGAAAAATTTTTAAAACTAGCACGTTTCCCAACAGTGGTATCAGAGCATGGTTTGATTCATTACTAGAGATCATAATTTTATGAAAATCATCATTCATGGATCCAAAATTATATTCATATATATTTTTTGATGTATGTTGATGTATGATTTAATATGTTGATATATATTGATACATAATGATGTATGAATAATTGTGAATGAATGATGATGTATGGTTGGGCCATGGATGAAGCTTATAGGTTAAATTAATGTAATTTTATCTTTGGATGAATGTAATTAAGGCTTTGATTTAGCCGTTTGAAAGTTCAATGAAGTAATTTAATTTTTTCCATTGTATTTCAAATTGTAAATATTTTTAAAGCCATGTAATCTTCGTCAAAGGATGCTATGAAGCTTCAAGAAGGTCCAAAAGGGTTAAATTATGCTTCAGTAATTTTTTGGAATTTTTCTGAATTTTTTGGAATTTTTCTGGAATTTTTTTAGGCTTAATTTAATTTTCTGGGAATTTTTCTGATTTTTCTGAAATTTTTCGGCGTTTTTCCGGTGGCCGAAGCATCGCTGGCGGCGAGAAGAGGCGTCAGAGAAGGCTGGAATCAGATGTGGTGCAGGTGGGGTGAGCCTGGCGCGTGAGGAACACGCGCCAGGAGGAGACATATGTTGGCGCGTGCATTGCACGCGCCAGCTAAGGTGGTATGGCCTCCACGCGCGTGCAGGCGCGTGGAGGCGCGTCCCACGCGCCCCACGCGCGTGCCAGCGCGTGGCTTCACCTGCAGCATGCCCCAGGCGCGTGTAAGTGCGTGTGGGGCCCTCCAGTCGCGTTCCAAGCAGTGTTTTGCTTCTCCTAGCGCGTATCAACCTCCTGCGGGTGTTTGCAAGCTGATGGAAGATCCTCGCGCAATACTTAGAGCAATTAAATGTTAAAAGCTGAATCCATTGGCCATTTAATTTGCTTTATCTGTCATTTATTGTTGTATGTGATGCATGAAATAATTAATTGCTAATTATTATTGTTCATGCATTGGATCCATGATATTTATTTAAATGGCTTGATTTATATTAGTTAAATTATGAAAATTAATTGGATTTGATTACTAATTAATTTGAGGGCACTTATTGGGAAACGCAAAATTATTTTTTGTAATTATTTTTTTTTTTAAAGTGTGCTTCAAATTAAATATTAGTGAATCATTTAAAGTCCAAATATTTTCTAAATTTAATTGGATTAAAATCAAGACGTTTTGCATGCATCATATCATGTATTTGAATAAAATGAAAACCCTAATTATAAATGATTAAAAAAAATTGAGTGGGAGCGGAGATTTTTATACATTGCCCCATGGCCTTCGTTATTAATACCATTGTAATTAGATCTTCAAAAATAAGGCCCCACGCATGATTTGAAGAGTCTTAATATTACAAGAATGGTTGTCTCATGAAAATAATAATATTAAATGTTCATTGTACTTATATCTTTAAAAATAAGGCCCTACGCATGATTTAAAGAGTCTAGATTATAATGACAAGATATTTAATATTTTATTTTTCATTAGAGCATTAATAACGTTATACACTCAATCTAAAATCAATAGTGTTAGCTCCCCAACGGAGTGGTCTACACTAGGTGATTTTAGAAAGGCTATACATAATCGGGAATCATTTCATATAGATAGACAAGGCATTGTCTTAAGAAATATGGAGATGATGGGATTTGCCCGCTAATAGCAATAATGAACTTCGCCAACCGAATAAGTTATTGGTGTATTGGTTATCCGATTTTTCATGCAGTGGTTAAGGGACCCACATATTATTTTAATGGAAGTGCTCACCTAATAGTAAATGAATCTCAACAATAGTAATAATGAACTCCTCCAACAGGATAAGTTATTGACATATTGATTGGTTGATTTATTATGCTACAGAGTTGAGGGATTCACATTAATTAAAAGGGATTGTTCACCAATAATGATAATGATCTCTTGTTCGATTGAGATTTATTATATTATGTGGTTAACAAACTCATTTTAATTTTAAATATGCATGATAGTATTAATAATTCACCTTGTATATCGTAGGAATGCATTTATATTCAGACTGATTATGTCTAATTCATTTTATCTGCTTGCTAATTTCAATGTATGTGGACTTCATTTATAATGACTAGAAAAGGAATTTAGATATTTTATTCACAACGTGGTGGTACAAATGTATTTACTACTCCTAAAACCTAATCCTTTTACTTTAAGATACCCAAGAGAACATTAATGCTTTGAATAAGTGAAATAAGGCAAATGAGATGAATTGGTGCAATATTCTAGAGTTTACCTCGAATACGCTCCAAAGCTAACATTTACATTATTTTATTTTCTTCAAGCATCATGTTAAATGTCAATAAAATATTTTGGTGAGATTAGATAGAGAGTATGCCAAAGTACTATGTCAGACTTGAATAGCATCAAGATAGCCTAAGGAACTCCAGTATGAAATCGAATTTTGAAAAATGATTGTTTATTATTTAAAAATTAGCTGGAGATCAATAGGGCTGACTTGAGTGGTAAGTTTCAAGTTAACATGATTATTGCCTTGTTACCAAACTCATTCGATTCTGTTAGAGTGAACTAAATAAGGAATCAGTTTGAGTTCACACTCGCTAATATTCTTATGGAATTGGTAACAGATGAAGGGATAATCAAGAGTATGGGCGTTCCTATCAATCTAACCTAGTCTATACCATCTTCTTCTAGGCCCAAGTGGACAGGCAAAGCAAAGAAGAAGGATGATAATAGGACTAGGCTAGCACAAAACATAGGTATCCAAAAGGTTAAAGGGAATAAGGCAGTGTATGTTGAGGGCAAAGAAAACTGTTTCTTTTGTCGCTAACTAAGACACTAAAGGACAAACTGTCTAAGCAATGACGTGGCATAGGAAAATATATATTTAATCATTGAGCCAGGTTCTGTGGTTGTATCTATTAATTTCTGATGAATAGATTCTGGAGCCACTAAACATGTTTGCAATTCATTGCACGGATTTCAGGAATCCAGAAGTCTCGATGATATGGAATATATTTGTACTTGACCTGATGTCAAGGTTGTAACTAAGTCAGTGGGAGTATTACATCTGAAATTAGAGAGTATGAGGATATTAGTATTAGAGAATTATCTTTATGCACAGAGGTTAGACGCTATCTAATTTTTGTTTCACTTGTGGCTTATAAAAACTAGATCGTTATTTTGTAAAACTGGTTTTATAAAATTGAATAGATATGCGATTGCTTCTGGTGCATTGAAAGAT